GCCGGGCTGGACGCAGAGGCTAGAGGAAAAATCCTCTGCCTCCGTCGGGGATCGAACCCCGGCCGTCCAGCCCGTAACTAGTCACCATACTGACTGAGTTATCCCGGCTCATGTTGTCCAGTGGTAAAGAGTGAAATAAACAGATTAAGTTAAGGGCACTTTGCAGCTTGACATTTTTCATCTGCAAAGGTCGGAAGGAAATGGAACAACGAGAAATGTTACCTTGTTACAAAAATGTGTTTTACACTACAACAGTGTTTCTCTGCTGTCGGTCCGCAGACCGGGAGCGGTCCACGGCATATTTTACCAGTCCAAAAATTTCTACTGCCAACGGTATTTTCTTTCAGTTGGCAAATGATTATTCCAGTGGTAGAGTATGAAATAACAACGATCACGCTCATTATCTTAAATGTCTACAACTTTTATTATTATGCATTTTTGGCATAACATTTAGCCTTTAAACATAATTTCTTAATGCGGGTTTATGTTATGTTTTATTGGTAAGAGAGAAAGATGATTTCAATAAAAGATATGTTATATTTATTCTAGTATTAATATAAGCTATGTGCATAAATATGTAATTTAAAAGGTCCGCGGTGGAGAATTTAGATTTTTCTCTGGTCCGCATGAAATTTCTGGTAAAGAAATGCTTCTGTATTGTGTTAAAATACATTTTTATTCCCAAATGTGAAGAACATCTGCATCATAAAAAGCGAAGTGTTCGTAACTTTCGTGGATTCCCGCCATCAACACCCATGCCAGCGTTAGCCTACATTATAGCCAACTGATAAATACTAAATATCCGCATTTTTTACCGAATAGGCTTGTTATATTATAGATAAGTAGGGTGAAAAATCCCACACACTTAAGTCACTTCATAGAGGCTTCATCTCTGACCCTACTCTTGGCTAGTTTGGGAGTAAACATGTTTGTACTGTTTTTCGGGTGAAGCATTTGGAAGACGTAGTCTTCATGGCCAGATGATGATAAGCAGATGGTATCAAAGCTTTCAGGGATGGAAGTTACGAGGTACACGCTGCAGAACGTTTCGGAGTGCCTCATTCTTAAATTCAAGGACGCTTGGTCTGGATAATAGTCTTCATTATACTAATATCATGATTACAAGGCGAGTTGAAAGTC